AGGACAGGAGAAGGGGCGGTTTGGGTGAGGAAGGCAGTGAATTCAACGTTGGATGTAATGAGTTTCACGTGTCTACAGGAGTGTGAAAGGTAGTGTTTATCCTGTTATTTTCATTTCATTTTGTGATCTGGAGTGGAAAGAATCCAGGATTTTGATCAGGATTCCTGAGTCCTAGGCTTAGTCTGAGACGTAACCATTCCTGACTTCAGGTGAGTCATTTAATCTTTCTCGGATTCTTCATGTATAAAATGAGAGGAGAGGACTGGACAATTTCTAAGTCCCTTGACTACAACAGCCTATGATTCAGTGAAATCAGATGCAGAACCACGGCGAAAGGTTAAATTTTCCCAAGTAGCATTTTGCCAAGCCCTTTCTTCAGCTCTTCACATGCTCCCTGAAGGGGAGTTGTTTTTCTTCCTTTCTTCACTTATTATTTTTTTGAGGGGATTCTGAGGCAGAGCAGGAGCTTCTTAAGCAGCAGAGTTAGTTTTGTTATGAGATCAAGAGTGAGTGTTAGCAAATGAATTTTGTGAGATTGACATCAATGAAAGAGAGAGCAGAGGCACTTTGCTGGGAATTTAAGCTTTGCAGCAGATCCTATGAGGCCTCATGGTGTTAGCTTCCATTTTTTCAGAGAAGTATTTTATGAAACCTACATGAATTAAAGTCCATTGGAAGGAATATCAGTCACTTTCTTCTTCTGGAGTTCCCTTAGGAAGGATCTTGAAGCAGAAGGTGAAGAATTTGATCCTGATAAAGGTCCCATGGAAATAAAATTACAGGCAAAAGTATGGTTCCCAATATAAGGGTCATTAGATGAAGTCTTCTTCCTGTGTCTGGAATCAGAGGGTGATATCTGAACGTAGGAGGTGTGATACATTCAGGGAAAGAAGGATATGCCATGTGAAGCTTTAGTATGTGTGTATCATGTGTGTACCATTAAGGTGTGGGTACACCTTTGCCATCGCTCAAATTGACTACAATTCTTTGTATAATTGTTATATTTTGTTTTGACTCAACAATCATTTCCCCATAAATAACAATCCTATGTTTCAGACTTAGGGGAAAAACAGAAAGTTAAGGAAAGCCATATGATATAGGGATTGCTACTGAGCTTATGTAACTTTCTATTCTTATTAAGTATATCTCTTATTGTTCAGTCATTTCAGTCGTGTCTGACTCTCCTTGACCCAATGTGGGGTTTTCTTGGCAAAGATACTGGAGTGGTTTGCCATTTTCTTCTCCAGATCATTTTATAGATGAGGAATTGAGACAAACAGGGTTAAGTGGCTTGCCCAATGTCACATAAATAGTAAGTGTCTGAGGCTGGATTTGAACTCATGAAGATGAATCTTCCTGACTCCAGGTCTGGTGCTCTTTCCACTGCACCACCTAGTAACCCACAAAAAGGCAAGAAACAGATATTTTCACTCTTTGGTCCCTGGGTGAAGTAGGAAGACTAGGACTTCAAGACATCATAATCCTTTAGGTTCCTTGTCTAAAAATATGGAGAGATATAAACTAACTTACCCTATAACCATTCAGTTTCTCAGAAATACGTCTTTATCCTGGCCTCCCTCTTTGTGGCCACTTCCTTTCCAGGAAGGAGATGTGGATATAGGGCCACCTGATGTATTTGTGCCTATGATTAAAGGAGAATGATGTGTGGGATGGGACAGGAAACAGTATTGATAAAGGAGAAAGCAAACTGACACCTCCCCCACTTTGTTTTATTTTCCTAGAACAAGGACTGTTTGTTGAATGCCCTTGAGCATGGACTTTTTTGACACAGGATGTAAGGAAATTTGGTGTCTAAGGTTTCTCTTCTTCCTGCTCCCCTTTCTAGGCCTTATCATAAGCAATGGCGAGAGATGGAAGCAAACCCGCCGCTTCTCCCTCATGACCCTGAGGAATTTTGGGATGGGGAAGAGGAGCATTGAAGAGCGAGTCCAAGAAGCGGCAAAGTATCTTGTGGGGGAGTTAAAAAAAACAAAAGGTTGGTGTGTTTTTACTTTGTTACCACTGATCTTACAAAAATCCATCCTATCCCTGGCGACTTATACAGATTGAGGTTGGTCCAAGGAGTTTACTGTAGTCTGAAACCAACACGTTTGCACTTTTGGGTCCATCCTGGGGTTATGTACATGATAGAGTGGTCATTCCTAGAAGCTCTGAAGGATCAGGACAACTGCGAGAAGAGATGAGAGGCAGTGCAGCTCTGCTAGTGAGTTCATGCTCTTCATGGGTATGGTGAGGAACATTTAGGGAGATGATGTTATATGTTTTTAATCCTTTTCAGCTGGAACAGAGCTCACAAGAACCTAGCAGCACTAGTTCTGTTATCTTTGTTCAACAATTCCAGGGGCAGAAGACATTGCTTTAGGATCATTTGAGGGAGTCCAGGGATTTTCTTGATATGTTGGTGAATAGCAGAAGGAATGGAAACAGGGCTGAGAACATTGCTAGGAAGTCAATGAGTTGACTCAGCAGCATCTCTTGGAAACTCTTTCCCTTCATGCTTCCCCCTCTTCCCCCATCTAAGCTATCTAGCAGAGGTGTTATCCATCTATGAAATTTTAAACTAGGGAACCAGAGGGCACTGGAGGCGAGCATAAATAGAGATGCTGATGCCATAATTTCTATGGAATAACTACTTTTTAAACTGTAACAGGCAAAACCTACGTGTACCGTGTGTGTGTGTGTGTGTGTGTGTGTGTGCGTGTTGGGTATTAGAAACTGTGCAGTAGTAGGGTATGCCAGATGTTGCTCATAGTTAGCTATATGTGCTCTCCTCCTCCAGAATATTTCACCAGGAATAATATAGAATAAACTGGGAACAGCATTACTCCACCACGTTGGAATCTGGGACTTTTGCCACTCCCCAGCGTAGATGTTGTCTCCCCCATTATAATGTAAGCTCTCTGAGGGCAGAAGCTGTTTCACTTTTGTCTGTGCACCCTTAGTGCTTAGCACAGAGCCTAGTAAGAGCCTAGTGATTGCTGGTGGATTGGCTGATTGATACTTTCTTCTCCCTCACCTCTATCATGCTGTTCTCCACTGGTTCTCCTTCGTGTCTGATTTTTGCTTCTCTATATTCTTTTGCTGGATTATTATTCACTTTAAATCCCCTAAGTGTGAATATCTCCAACACTCTGTCCTTGGGCCTCTTTAATATAACCACCATTTTGACCACCATCTGCCCTCTGACCCTGATGGAGACAGCCCAGGACCTCCAAACCCAAGAGCCTGGGGAACAGCAATACTGTCACTCCAATGTCCATAACCTCTCCCTCGTGGAGATGCAGCCTTGCAACTTCTCCCATAGATGCTCAGCCACATACGTTGAAATATATTTACAAAATTAATTCAAAGTAGTTTGGATAGGAGGAACACCTGAATGATCCAGGCTGGTCAAACCACCTCCGCCTTGATGATTATCTCCCCTCTGACCCTGATGGAGACAGCCCAGGCCCTTGAACCCAAGACCTTGGGAATAGCAGTATCCTTCCCACCTCCAAATCAATTCTATGTAGTTCTCATTAAGATAATAAATTATTGTGGAGAAAGGGCCCATCTTTCTCATTACCACTAGCAACAACTGATGACCAGCTACCACCAACAGATAGATACGGACACAAGCTACAAGGGTGGCAGCAATCTCTAGATCACTGATTCTAATCCAGCCTTCATAGCTCTCATCTGTGAAGCTAGTCCTGTGAATAAGGTGCTGGCTATCCCCACCAGTTGCCAGCCAATTCCCAGCCAATTGCTATTCATAAGGCAGTTGGGCCAGCCTGGCTAAAGCAGTGGGGCGCCCTGAGGGATAGACAAGAGGCAATATATGCCAGTCAAGGAAACCTAGCATCACCACCTTGACATGATCACTTCTTAGACAGCCCAGGATCCTGAACCTAAGAGCATTTGGAATAGCAAGGCTTCTAACCCAGTGTCTGCAACCCTCATCCTGGATTACTGATTGAAATATAATAAAATATAATTTAATGATATACATGAAGAAGTATGAAAGCAAAAACTGGTTAATGTGAGGTGATGAATAGGGATTTAGAAATGGGAAATGATGCGGTATGGTAGGAAGAGCACTGTATTTGGGGCCAGGAGAGAATTTGGGTTGAATTCCATTTCTTGATCCTTCCTAGTTTTGGCATAAATCATCTAATTTTCTTGAGCCTCAGAAACCTCATCTATAAAATGGGAATTATCATATCTGCACTAGGATTTTTATGTGGATCAAATGAGATGCTTCATAAAGGGTGGTTTAATTTCAACCTGGCTGTACCAAATAACTGTCAGCTGGAATGTAAACTAGAGGGAAAATCAGGTCCTACCTAAAGGCAGGCAAATGTTCTTTTTGATCACAACTGCAGTATTAAAGTCCTTTTCTCTCTCTCTCTTTCTCCTTTAGGATTACCATGTGACCCTACCTTCATCCTTGGGTGTGCTCCTTGCAATGTAATCTGCTCTGTCATTTTCCAGAAACATTTTGAATATAAAGATCAGAAATTTCTATATTTAATGAAGTGTTTAGACGAAAACATCAAGATCGCAAGTTCCCCATGGATGCAGGTGAGACCAGTGTCCTCTCCTTTTGGAGCTCAGGATACATTTTTTTCATTAATTCAAAGAAACTACTGGAAGAAGCCAGGCTAGAATTCATCATACATTCCATTGGGAAGTACAACAGAGCCACGCTAGGATAGGTTCAGATTTTCTTCTTCATTGACAGGGAATAAAGACAAAGACAGTCACCCCTATGTGTTCTGATTTGAGGGACCTTAAAAGGCCCCTCCCTGGAGTAGTTCACCCACTGGTCATGGGGACTGAATGTTAAAATGGAAGTTACTATAGAGAAGCTGACTTTTCCCTCAAGCACCTGAGTTTGGATCAGGTTAGCATGTGGGCTAGCTGTGCTAATGGAAGGTGGTAGGCAGAGTTCTTAGAAGACCTCATAATGAGAAAGGATGAAAACTTATCTGTAGGAAGTAAGAATTGAGAAAGAAGGCCAACGTAGTCTCAGACAACTAAGGAACCGAATGCAAAAATGTTTTAGGGGGTTGGTATAAGAAATGATGAGAAGTCACTATTTTGCAAAAGGCATTTGTCCCAACCTTATTCAGCCCTCTTCTGAACATTATCCAAATTCTAAGTAGAGAATTATTTTCTTTTTCTAATAAAGTATGATATAAAATTCTTCTTTTTAGATCTACAGTTCTTTTCCATCTTTATTACATTATCTCCCTGGATCTCATCACAAAATAATTAAAAATGTTCATTTACAACATGAATTTATTTTGGAAGAAGTGAAGGAGCACCAAAGGACACTGGACCCCAGTAATCCTCGGGACTTCATTGACTGTTTCCTGATGAAAATGGAGCAGGTAGAGTGTGAGCAGTAGGTCTGAATCTCAGTTCTTGTAGGTGAAATGGCTTGTGTATTAGAGGCTGACACTTGCATTCAAAAACATAGAGCAGTAAATAATCATGTATCAATCCTAGTGTGCTCAGAGCACTTTATGGGGCAAACAGAAGAATGAGAAGATAGAGTCCTGGGTTTTCTAACCGAATAGACAGAAGAAAGCACATGTAAGGACTAGAGAATAATTATCAGGAATGTGTAAGGAAAGCCAAAATAGATTATAAATTGAAGATTTATGTGATGAAGGAATTTGGAATTAGTAAGAAATATAATATTTAGTGACAGTTAACACAAGACTTCCTTTTCGAAGAGTTAAGTTTCTTTTTTTTTATTTGTTTCTTTAAGTTGATCAGGGATTTATTTTTTAAAACTACTTGCCAACTATGCCCTTAAAAGTGGTATAGATCTGGCACCATCCCCTATAATATCTGTACAAACACTGTATAATGAAAATTGATGTTCAAAATAATTATGTTGATGATAACCCCAAAGCAGTGCAGTCCTTCCTTCAAAGACTCAATGAGGTTTCCTTTTCTACCTTTTCTAAGGTTGGAAAGTGGACTAATATTTATTGCTTCATCTTCCCAGTAGAATGTTAAGCTCCTTGTGAGCAAGGACTGTTTCATTGTCTTCCTTGTAGAACTAACCCTTAGCACAATGCCTTGCACACAGTAGGTGCTTAATAAATGCTTGTTGATTGATTTGCCGAATGTTAAGTGCTTATTCTGTGCAGAGCACTGTGCAAGGTACTGAGGATTGTAGGCAATTTACAGTCTCTGATCTCATGGAAATTATTAAAATATTTTCAATTTTTAAACATTTATTTATTTTTAATATCATTTTCTTTTTAAATTTTGAATTCTAAATGCTCCCCCTTCCTACCAGCCCTCCCTTACCAACTGAGAACGCAAGCAAAATGATATCAATTATGCATGTGAAATCATGCAAAACATATCCATATTAGTCATACCTCAAAAAAGCAAAAAAAAATAAAGAAATCAAGAAAATTATACTTCAATTTGCACTCAGAGTTCCTTGTCTCTAGAGGTGGATAGCATGTTTTCATAATGAGTCCTTTGGAATTGTCTTGGATCATTGTATTGATCAGAGTGACCATCTTTCACAGTTGATCATCATTACAACATTGCTTTACTGTGCAGAATGATTTCCTGGTTCTTCACACTTCACTTTGCATAAGTTCATATAGGTCTTGCCATTTTTTCCCCTAAAACTATCGCTGACATAATTTCTTATAGCACAGTAGTACTTCATCACAATCATATGCCACAACTTGTTTAGCCATTCCCCAATTGACGAGCATCCCCTCAACTTCCAATTCTTTGGGACCACAAATAAAGCTGCTATAAATATTTTTGTACCGAGAGGTCCTTTCCCTTCTTCTTTAATCTCTTTGAGGTACAGAACTAGTAGTGGTACTGCTAGGGCAAAGTGTATGCAAAGTTGTGGAACCCTTTGGGCATAGCTCCAAATTGTTTTCCAAAATGGTTGGACCAGTTCACAACTCCACCAACAGTTTATTGGTGTACCTATTTTCCCTCATCCCATGCAGCATTTGTCGTTTTTGATAGGTATGAGGTGGTAACTCAGAGTTGTTTTAATTTAATTTAATTTAATTTAATTACTAGTAATTGTAAAGCACTTAGCACAGTGCCTGGCACATAATAAGCACTGTATAAATGTTAGCTATTAATATTAGGATCAAATGAGAAAATAATTGTAAAGCACTTAGCACAGTGCCTGGCACATAGTAGATGCTATAGAATGTTAGCTATTGTTATTATTATTCAAGGTTCACATGGTGAACTAGAAGAACTACATATGCTCTATTCACTTGAAACCTGTACCACTAATACAGAACTGTACTAAATCACATTTGCACTGAGCCATGAATCCCTTCCTTCCTGAACCACATAAAAGAAGCCACCTGGAAAAGATAATATGTTGCCAAAATGAGAATACTGTTATCTTCTCCTTGGTGGAATCAGCACCTGTATCTGTAAAGTAAAACCTGAATGAACTATAATATTCAGGAAAGGAAAATGTGTTCCAGTTAATTGGTTAAACCCAAGTCTGCCTATGTGCTTCAACCACTGCTCCTGAAAATCTTAGTGTGTATATTATATTTAAAATATGTTGTGTTCCCCAGCTGATAAATGGTCAAAGGATATGAAGAAGCAGTTTTTAGAAGAGGAATTCAAAGCTGTTTATAGTCCCATGAAGAAATGCTCTAAATTATGCATAATAAGAGTTAGGTTTTGAACTGGGTCTTGAAGGAGGTCCTAGAGCTAGGCAGTGAAGACTGGGCAGGACATTTCAGGACTCTACAAAGACAGTGAGGTATAGGGAACTTTAATCTGAGCAGCCTGATTGGAATGGAAGGGCTGCTGTGGTAAGTACTTGGGGAGCGGGAGGAGGTGGGTTTTATAGTCAAGATGGTAGAGTTAGAGGCTCCTCATTTTCCATCCCCTCCACAAACAACAAAGAGCAAAACCAAAAGAAAAAAAATCATTGCAAAGTTACATAAAGAAGAAAAATCAACCAAATTAGAACATAACTAGAAAAAGCAATATGCTAATGTAATTCCTATGGAGTAAATGAAGACCTGGAAGTACCAGAAATATGGGAGAAGGTAAAGGATATGCTGATGGACATCCTGAAATGGATCAGTAACCCACTTAAAGGAATGAAGTGTACTCTGAGGTGATCACTTACAGTTTTCTTACTAGACCAAACAGAAAACACATTAATTCAAAGAAAACACATTTAATTTAGCAATATGTCAACATAACTGACCAGGTAAATCCTTCTTTCATTAACCTATGCACATAAAGTTATATTCTCCCACAGATTCCTACCCCATTGCTGGATGAGGGAATGTAGGAGAGGGCAAATATGTAGACCAGAGCAAGAGATTTTTAGAAGTATTACATGCAGTGGTCTCTTGTAATGCTCTCTGTTTCATGTGTTAAAGTCTTAATAATGCCATATCCTTTTTCCCCCCTCATCACCCACATGGTGCATGGAGTAGACCTTAGTTGACTTGAACTTGAATTTTATCCTCTACCAACCTGCCTGCTTTTCCTATGTTTTTACCTTTCTTATCTTTCGTCCATTGGGTATTTGTTATATATTCAATTTCTGACCTCAGTGGTGACTTTTCCTCAATGCCAACATCTCATGGTCAAGGGCAAAGCATTTAGCATCTCAATTTCCTCATTAGTAAAATGACAATAATAATGCACTAACTATATCACAGTATTTGGATGAGGATAAAATGGGAAAATATACATGAATTCTTCTTATATTAATTCAGATATATATATATATATGTAAGATGATTATTTTTTTCTTTCCTCATTTGCTAAACTAATAAATCCTGTTTATCTCACTAAACTCATGTAGAGGTACAGAATTTATTAGTTTAGTAAATCAGGAGGAAAATACAATAGCTTACATTTACACAGTGCTTGTGTATTTGTTTCTTAGTCATCTCAGTTGAGTCCAATGCTTTATGACTCCATTTTGGGTTTTCTTGGCAAAGATACTGGAGTGGTTTTCCATTTCCTTCTCCTGCTCATTTTACAGACGAGGAAACTAAGGCAAACAGGGTTAAGTGACTTGTCCAGGGTCACATGGGCATTAAGTATTTTAGGCCAGATTTGAATGCAGGAAGATGCTATCTTGCAAGATAGCATGATGCAGTACAGTTGTGTCAAACATGAATAGAAATGGATCCTGGTAGACCTCATATTAACTTAGAAAATCCACAAATTAACATTGTCTATGTTGTATTGTATCTTTATTTATTTTACTAAACTTTTCCCAATAACATCTTAATTTGGTTTTGGCCACACACAGTTTTGTTGGATCTGAGATCTAAGAGTTTGACCCCCCTGATGTAGTAGATAAAGAGCTGGCTTCAGAACCAGGCAAAACTGAGTTCAAGTCCCCTCTCTGACACAAAATGTCTATGTGATCCTGGGAAAGTCACTTAACCCTAGAGTGCCTTAGGGCTAGGCAACTCTTCTGAGACTTTTAGAGAAGTTTTTTAGAGAAAGTAAGGACTTGCATTGGTAGAAATAATTTTTTTACCTGGAAATTCCCTATGCCAATGAAATTGCAGCTCTCTCTCTCTCTCTCTCTTTCTCTCTCTCTCTCTCTCTCTCTCTCTCTCTCTCTCTCACTCTCTCTA